CGAGTCACGGTCAGACTTGTGCTCGAGAGCCTCCAGATGGTCGAGTCGCAGCAGCTCCGGTTCGCGGGGTGAGTGGAGCTCACAATGAGCGACGTGAAGCAACGGCCTCAGCGACGAACCGCCTTCGCATCGTTGCTGCCGCGAAGGCGGCCTCGCCACCTGCCTCTCTACACCATCCGCNTGCTGCTCGTCTCCCCAGACCTCGAACTCCCCCGCCGCGGAATAGTCGCCGAATCCACCGTTACCCTTCACCGTTGCACCTTTGTTGCGACGATTGTCGATGAGTACGGGCCACGGGGAGCCCCGTTGCTCCTCCTTGCCCTCTGATACGCGCCTGTCCTCCTGTTTCCGCTTGTACTTCACCAGATACTGGCGTTTCTTGCTCGAGAGGGAAAACGACAAGCTGCCTCGGCGGTTAGAGTAACGACGGCCCGTCAGATTTCCGGCGGACGCACCGCGGTCCGCATATAGGTCCTTCCACGAGCGAGGCAGCGTATTCTTTTACCCTTCAGGATGTCAGCATGTCACGCTGGAATGGTTATATCCGCTGGAATGGCCGCCGTTTATACCACGCCGATTCGATCGTTGTTTTGAGGGTGGTTCGTTAAAACAGACGCATTCCACGATGGTTGAATTCGTTCCCGTGATTAGCCGTCGGCTATGGACCCGGCTAACGTGTACGCAAACTTTGTTATCGATCTGTCAACGCCAGCGAGAAAGTTCAACTCCCGCGCGATGCTACGCGAAAGGGGGATTAAGTGGATGGTCCCAGTCACTAGTCCGCCGTTGAACAGCGGACGATTATTTCTTCGTTGCAAAGGACACTTTTGAATAAGAGGCAGGTATACGTTGTTCAGACGGCTGTCGATGGATGGTGAAAGTTCCTTGAGAGGTATTTTTGTTGATCACTTTTGCGAAGGATTGATCGATGTTTCAGAATTCAGGACGATTCAGGATTCGACGCGTATCCCTTTTTCACTGCGAACACTTTCGAAGCACTGGAAAAACTCGATAATTTAACACTTGAACACTTTTTCCTTCACCAATTCCGAAACTTTAGATCGTATCGTGTTATTCCTTTTTTGTAATAAGAAGTATAAGCCAGAAGTAGAACGTTTCCTCAATGGCACATCACTAGAGAAACGATCCCGATGACAGAAGCAATTCTCTTCCAAGAACGAGCAGCCAACATACGTCACGGATACTCTCGACACGGACGAGCTAATTGGGTCAGGGGGTTGAGAACTGCACGCAAATCCGTGCCGGTGGAGCGTGAGCAGCGTGCCCTGAAGGTCCCAGGGGTGCAAGTGAAGAGACCGTGTCGCCGAGGACCAACCAGTTACTCAACAATTTCTCTCATCTAACTTCACTACTCCTTTTTTCGAATCGCTTTTAAACGGCAACAATTATTTCGATCCGTTCGCGAAATTAATGAAAAATCGAATCAAAGAAAGAAGAAAAAAACTTCGAGGCACTTCACGAAAAACGAAACTCCAATAACGATCGTGCCGAAGCGTGTTTAAATCCAATCGTGTGATCCTGCCGTCTGCTTTCGGCTTAGTTCGTCGTCTTCTCGAGCGTAGATACCGAGGTGATATAGCGTACAACGAGAGGTTACTGCACCACCAACGTTGTATCGTGCTCGTAGACTCCCCTCTTTATTGCGTTCAGTGAGAAACGATCTCGTCGTTCGAGAGAGAGAGCACGCTCGAGGAAAACGTATACACTCACGTCAGCTGCAGATCAAAGACTGAAGGGCCACAGCGCCGCAACGCCCGGCACCGAGTGACACTGAGTGTCCCCACCACGCCGCTCTCGACGCGCATGCGTGCCACGCGCTTCAGATCACCCCTCCAACACCATGAACGGATAAACCGTTGGAAGAGAACGCCGCCACGCGGGTGGTGTACTCACTATTCGTCGTCACGGCGCCGTGACCATCGTATCGCTGTGACTCGTCGTGTCTACGCTTGTTTTGCGATGCGGATCCGCCGGGGTGTCGATATCCGCGCACAACTTCTCACTGTTGGAAAGTTTCGAGAGGGATTGCTCGTGGGACGAAGGCTGGAAAGTTCTGGGTTTTCAGTTTTTGTCGGTGGCGGTTGATTGGATATTTTTTGATGGAGGGAAGCAAGGGGAACGAGGATCGAGGTTATTCGGTGGAATTGAAGAGGTGCGTGGGTAGTTCGATATGGGATTACGGTGTGCGGTCGGGTATCAACAAGTTAGGTAGAAGCGACGACGTGAAATGGTCAAACGTGGTAGTGGTGCGTGTGCTGATTTTTATCGTGAATTGTGATCGTTGTAAAGATCGAACAGATTCGAATGTAGAAAAGTGAAGAAGATCACATTTATCTTTAAATAAGACAAATCTTTATAATACGATAGTCAAGATTTTTTAGAATTTAGATTATTTTAAAATTTAACTAATTAAAAATTACAATTCATTAAATTTATTTGAGTAGATTTTAGATAAAAATGTTGGAAATTGAAAAAATATTTAAATATTTTTTCTTTTTAGATACACACCTAGAAATGCACACAAGAATTTTATTAAACGTTTTCAACGTTACGATAAAAAAATATTTAGAAATTTTATTATGTTTGAAATTAATAATGCGCTTTGGAACGAGAAAAAAGCTGCTTTCGCTATTGTGAACTTACTTGCTCTTTTGTTCCCTATATACGCGTTGGAACACTCTGAACCGTTTTTCTTTCTTATTAGCTTCATTTTCAATGTCGTATAATAGGTTATGTGCGACTTTCTTAGATGTCGTGATTTTCCTTTGATCCTTGCTAATAAATGAAAGGAATTTTCATCTGCAATTCATAACGTTGTATTATTATAACGTAATATTATTTTTTCTATAAATATAGACGTATTTTTATAGTTTTTGCCTTTATCACGTTGTAATTATAAAACTTTTATAGAATAATTATACAGAATAAATAATTATAGAATTTATAGAATTTATGTTTGAGATTTTGTATGGCTATGGAAATAATGAGAATTTTGTAAATTCTTTAGAACATTAATCGAAATTGGCAAACATTATTTCTATTTTGTTTTTTCATTTTTTATAAAAAAGAAGCAACTTTTTATCCTTTATATATTTTGGGTCTTTGGGTCAACTTATAATTTAGAATTTACATTTATATATTACATTTGTATTACGATCGATTCATTACGGACTAATTTTGAAGTAATTTCTGCATTGAACAAGTTATATCGCTAGAAATCTCTATTCATAGATCTCGTGAATCGGGTAAACTTTCAACTATTCGAAACACGGTAAATGAAAACGAGGATGCAATGCAAACAGGTCAGACGACATGTAAACAGCGCCACTAGTGATCGTCTGGAACTACGGAATAGATGAGCATGCCTGTCATATCTCCGTAAGAAATCTACCATTAATATATCTAACTACTTTTGCGTAACGACGTTACAAAATACTTTCAATTATATCGTCATAGTGCATTGTCATGGTACATAAAAAGATAATACAAACGACAAAACAAAAGGCAATAATAATCACGAAGATAAACTTTAATAACGCAATACGTGAAAACGTATTAACTGCACAGTTTATAATTAATAATATCGTGTTACAATTATCGGTCAGTAAATAGACAAGGGGCGTATCGATATTGTTACATATATTGTTTACCTGTGCCATCGATGAAAATAAAAGACGAAATATATCCTATTGATTGATTTGCATCTCAACAATCTCGAATCGTAAAAATAATCGCTTCTCTCGCATTAAATGTCCTGAGCAATTACATCGTTCGAAGTTCAAAGTATTATACAACGAATGCAGTATATAAACGAATAATTTATATACGAAACTTAGAGATTTTTATTGCTTTGAAAGATACAAAAATATAACGTTATACGATACAAATGAAAATTTATGAAAATAGAATTAAGCAATGATACTTTTTCTACATTCTCATCAAGATTAAGTAGAATTTTAAAAACGAATATTATTTATAATGATTTTAAATTAAAAGAAGATTGATAAATTGTGTAATATGAAATCCCTTTTTTCCACAATATTTTGCATTCTTGATAAAAAATATTTTGCAAAAATTCTCTTTCTAAATCATGCAACCAAATTCCTCCCAAATTCTGTAGCTATCGAAGAAGCTAGCCAAGTATCAATACGTTTAATTTCTTCGACTCGACGAACAGTCATGTATTATCCACCTGTACACCACTAATTAAAACCTCTTGCTCGTAAAATCGACGATTCCTATCATCCAGTCAAAGAACGGAGTTACTATCATCGTCGATTTAATCGCCTCGAAAAGGGTGGGCCCTCTCTGGCGCCGATTACACCACGCTTGAACGAGACCGCGAATTCCGTCGAGGCGAACTCGAATTTATAATTAAATACTCGATCGTAATTTCTCGTCAGCTTGGTGACGCGTATCCAGTTAGGATGATCCTAAATCGCTACTCCCCTCCTCCCACCCAAGCTCCACCCCCACTCCGTCCCCGTCTGTATCTAGACATCTTTGCAGATGCGACGAGGGTTATAGAGATACTATTGACTCTCTCGAAGCTATTCCGTCGAGAGCACGACTCGTGAGAGTGTGCCCTCGCTCGTTGGGAAGTTTAATTATCCCCTTCGGTACATCCTGCTGGTCGTTGATACTGACGAACAATCGTGGTAGACGCACAGACGCACGCACAATGTACGTACACCACGGGCGGGATGGAGACGAATGGATGAAAGTTGGGAAGAAAGGGAGAAGAGATGGATGGAGAAGTTGTTTCAGTCGAAATTTACCTACAACGTTTACACTTTTTAGTGGTGGCGACTCCTGCTCGCTTGCCATTCTTTCCAACTATCCAAGGTATATAGATTGTTTCTTAAAACTTCCACTCAAACTTGTTAAATTGAATATTGATTTTAAATTTAGATTTAGAATATTTCTTTAAATCATTTTAAATTCCGCGTGCGTGAATATTTTAAAAATATCTTTTTAATCTTGTCATCATAATTTGATTTTGATTTTATAAAACTCATTAAAATTGAGTTTTATATACTTTTATATTATGCAAAGGATCTATAGAGGTAATCAGTGTATAACTATCATCACAATATGTTTCGATACAATTTCAAATCCGTCAATCCTATATCCGATTCCCTCGCATTACGAGACACCCGTAAAACGCAAATATGCTGTGACCCGAAACGAGTGGCGTAAAGAGTATAGGCACAGTGAAAGGAAAATTCGCGACAGGGCCTTTGATGTCGCTTAAACAGAAAACGTCGGCCGTTGCTGTACCACGACTTAGATTCTTCCTTCCTTCCTTCCTTCCTTCCTTCCATTCTTTCCTTCTCCCTCTCCTTCCTTCCTTCCTTCCATTCTTTCCTTCTCCCTCTCCTTCCTTCCTTCCTTCCTCCTTTCTTTCAAGCCAGCTAATTCCTTACGATCGTCTAGACTCACAGCACGTTGGATGCTTTGAATCTCCCTTCTCTTTTCTTTCCTTATCGGCATGCATCTCCTTGGTCCTTCTCTGTCCGCTTTGAGAGGCCGCCACGAGTACCGGCAGCTCCGCGACTATGAAGATATCGTCCTCCCGCCACAAGGACTCATTTGTTCTCCTTATCTACTCGGTAGGCACTTCTCCGCCTTTGGGACATCCGGACGAGCCTCTTTCTCGTGCAATTTGCATTCGTATATACACGATTCGAACACAACACGTGCATAGACGCACGCACGCGTGTACACGCGTTCACAACTGTCAACGCCATTTTGTGGCCACGTGAGCGGCGTGGCCGGAGTGGGGGGAGTGCGAGCGAAGAGAGGCGAGTTTTATCGAGCACGAACGAGGAACAGATCGAGGAACGATAGCACGTTTGAAGACGACAAGCGGCAGGCGGCTTTGACGGCGCGTTCCTTGCGTTTGCGAGCGACCTGCCCTCTCGCTGCGGGCATTGTACGAAATTTCTGCTTGTTTTACGAGAAACCAGCCGACTGCCCGTGGCGTTTGTGATTTTAACTCATACCTTCCACCGGTGAACTCCACTAACTCGCCCCTTTGTCAGAGAGCAGCGTTTGCACAGCGAAATTCTCTCTCTCTCTTTCTCTCGCGGTCGGGCCGCGTTTCTATGTGTTTCATTTTGCATTTTCTAACCTGATCGTCGTCCAATCGTACTCCATTTGACTTGGATTAATAAAATGAAATAGTTATTGGATACTTGAGATGGAATGAAAAATCACGGGATGATCTGCGTGAATCGGATAATACGGATATTTGTCCATTGAGATGTACGTGTGCCCATTGATTTCTGGATTTAGATGAACCGATCCACAGATGTGCGTGATATTGCAAATGAATTGTAATTGTTGCCCTACGATGAATTACAACGCTAAGATCGATACTTGCTATCGGTTTACTCGATTAGAGAACAACCATCGCTAGTACTGATAGCAGTGTTTCGTTTCGAAATACGTTATTAAGAATTAGTATTTTAGTATTGATATACTTTCTGTAAAAGTTATTAGACAATAGGATTTTTTATTTTTCTTTATTCTTACATTTTTATCAAAAATAATTGTAATTTTTTAAGGATAATAAAATTAAATCTAAGAATTTTCTAGTAGTTTTTTTATTCCTTATAAAAATTGTTTTGCTATTTTTCCTACATTTTTATTGTTCAATGTTAGAGATACTTTTAATTCTTAATGCGGAAACACGATGGAATAAAAAAAGAAAGACATTCTTTATAACGGTTTCTATTGTTACAACGTGAAAACGGTAGTATTAAGAGAGAATGGACAGCGTCGTTAATTCGTATAAGATTAATGTGCTTTAACATTAAAGATAAATTGATTGATTTTTATAACATATTTATTTAATAATTTATCTTTATTGGAACGATAATGTAAAACAAAAAGGTAAGAGTTGCGATTAAAAAGTATTTTAATATCGTTGAAAATTAAAGATTTTTCTCTTAATTTGTATCGCGGTCATAAACTACGGCGCGTATCTTTTCAGCAGCACGCGACAGCCACGCGAGAACAATCGAGATCCACGAGGCACGATTTCTCTCGTAAAGCTGGCTCGCGCCTTTTGAATTTTCCCTGGTCCTCTTAATTCAATTTTAAACTAATTTCCTTAAACCGTTCTATATGCATGGATATTGTCCGGCGTCCAATCTTCCTAAGTTTTTTAATTCAATTTCAAACTAATTTTCTTAAAGGCTTCGACCCTCTTTGGAGATCCGGACCGCGCGACCAACTTACTCGCGAGTTACCAGCTGAACGCTTAGTGGTGTCATTAGCTTTGCATAAAAGGAAAGCGGACAAGTGGGAAATAAGGTTATTTTTATTATCACTCGTAGCCCTCTGTCGGACATTATTAGCAACTACGATACTCATACAAATCTAAAATGCCAATTATTTGTGACACTTTGCCAATTTTACAGAAGAATATTTACAAAATTAAATATTAAATATTATAATTATTAAATATTAAAATCGTAAACTAACACAAGAATATTTAATATTCGAAAGTTATATTAATACTTTAACTATCGAAGATGAACGAAACGAACGAAATCTAAATTTATAACCTCAAATTCTCGAACAAAAATAAAATCGTCAATCTTTCTTCTTCCTTTCTATTTTTGAAAAAAAAAAAAAGAAAACGAAAGAAAAGGAAAAAATACAAGATTGAAAAATTGCAATACGTTTGTCCCGAATAAATAAATAAAGTAAAAGTTTCATAAGTGAATAAATATTTTTCCACGAAAATGGAGCATCGCAGAGAACGTGCCAACGTTCCTTTTCGTTCGTCACGTGGCGATAACATAAACTCGCGCGCCTCGTTCGCCAGTTTCACCCGCTGGAATGTATTAAATCTCTCGTGACAATGACGTTTGCATTTCTGAAGTGCTGACGCGACCCATACAGGCCGTCGGGCGTGCACTCGAAACAAGGGTACATCGTTTTCACGACGACGCCGTGTTTTTTTGCCCGCGCTACTCGCTGGCGTATACGAGCGTGCGATATGGGGAACAGAGACACTTGACATCGGCTGTTTGCTCGAACACGCGGCAAACATGAAAAAAAATATATATATACATATATATATATATGTGTATATAGAGAACTTCCGATCGGTAGACACGTTATCAACGGAATAAATCCGACGGTAACTGTCCCAGAGAGAGAGAGAGAGAGAGAGAGAGAGAGAGAGAGAGAGAGAGAGAGAGAGAGAGAGAGAGAGAAAGAGCTTTCGGCATTCAAATCGTTCCGCCACCAGTCTCGAGATGGTCAATTTATGTAGAGAGGTGCTTTCTGTGTTTCATTTACAACAGATAGCACGTACGATATAAAAATAAAAGTTATGTATGTATGTATATATATATATTTTACACGGAGGAACGGGAGCTTTTATTGAGTTTCCTGCGTTTGTAAAAGGTTTGATGAAAGTTTTTTGAACGTGTTACTCGATATTAATAAAGTTGCACTAACGTTTATTTGAAGTTTATTTCTCTTTTTTATTTTCCTCTGTATTAAATATGAATTTTATCATGTTTTATTGGAATTCATAAATGTTAAATAAAATCGATGAGAATGTATCTATACGATCGATAAATTATTTAAAACAACTATGAGAGATACCATGAGATATAGCTATGATTCTTCGTAACCGAAAGAACTAGGAACCGTGGCCAATCTTGATAAAGAAGTTTATTTCAATCTATTGTGCACGGCTCGATGATCAAATCAAGATGATCCAAGATCGTTCCATTAAATCAAACATCTTTGTGCTCACTCTTCTCAAAAATCTAATTCGCTATTCTCGAAACAGAATATTTTTCAAAACAATTTTTAGAAAGGTCTTGATATTTTTTTCTAACGCTACATTTTTTATTTGTTACTTTATGTTGATTTGTAATACGATTATATTTTTTTTTGATAGATTCGCGTTAGAGGCGACAGATTAGACGAAAATGGACGAGCCTCTGATATATATATGGTCAATATATGGTCTGGTTGTAATATCGTACCACGGGAATACGAGAATGGAGAGATTGGCCGGTTTGATTTCTCCGCCATGCCAATGAGCACGCCAGTCGATGTTGGGGATCTCGGAATTGTTCCAGCTAACGATGGGCGTTCGATGCCCTCGGAGTTCTTGAGCGATTCGGTTGTGTAAGCATTGGAATGCTCCTGAATGTCGTAAATTATGCAGAAGGGAATTATACAATCAAAGAGATATCCAGATGTACGTAGATTAATTAAAATTATATAATTATTATTATGCAATTGGAACGATGAATTTATATTTATAAAATTTATATTTTTACGTATATGAAACTAGTCGAGCAACAAATTTCAAACGTTCAATCATTTTTTTATGACCTATAATAATTTTAAATGCAACTTCATTCGAGAAAATTTCTAATAATTTCACATAACCTCAATCTCGAGTCAATACACGTACGTCTCGAAGCGCCTTGAGTATGTGTTACGTCACTTGTCTCTTTTTCTCCCATTCTCGCCTGGTCCCTTGCGATTCTCAAGCATTCATGGAATCTGACAGGCATAGGCCGTAACGTGACTGCTTATTAAAAGGAACGGGCACGCTTTATTTCGCCAAGGGAAACAAGCGACAAGGTAAATATTGTATGTCGAGTTGATGTGCGTCCACGTTGTCGCGGAAACGCGGCAGGCGTCCTTTGAGTGCCTCTTACGGCCGATGCCTGTTGATGCCTCGTTTGCTCTGTGATTGAATGGCCCGCTTCGTTTGCTCAAAACGACGCTCGTACCCTGCACGTAATTTATGGGAACGAATGTTTTTTTTTTTTCTTTATTAATTCTTGCCTGTGTTTCGTGATGATAAAATTTTAACATGACAAAATGCCACGATATATAAACAATTCGAGGAAACTATAAATATAATTTTATTTCATACTTGATGAAACTTGATTACTTTTTGAATCTAATTTACGCGAAATTTTTTAACGAGTATCCGATTATTTAGATTATTGGATTTTTGTTATATGAACTATTATCGTAACTTGGGTTCTATTTATCTGAAAGAAAATACTAAAAATAAATATAACGAAATAGTAGCAAAAATGATATATATCACTGAAGACAAAATTCGAGAAGAAAAAGTGGTTCAAAAATCTTTAAATGAAACTAATTAATTTTGCCCATACTATTTTATTTCAATTATTAACGTTTAACATTAGTTGATTTAACTCCAGTATAATAAAAATTCAATTTAAAGATTTAATTTGCCAAATATTACACCACTGCTTCCTAACTTAATTTCTAAATATTATTTAAGATCTTAATTATAATCGATGATTATACGAACGTCCCAGTAAATATAACCTCTCAAAAACGTTTTTAACATTTTTCTATCGAATCATTCGATAATTTCGAATACCATTCTCTTCGAAACTTCATTCATCCCGTGTTTCTCGTTTCATTCACAGCTTCAGCTCCGAGCCAAACGTAACGTAATCTGTCATAGAGAGGAGGAGAACAGATACCACGAATCTCGCAATTGGCACGGATCCAGGGAACCGCGTTATCGCCACCGTCCACTGTATGAACTCTCGCTGAATTGCCTCGAATCGCGTTGGCAGCGTGGCGAAAGATGGCGTTAGCGGCGCAGACGTCATAATATCCGTTGAGATGCGACGTTAAAACGTTGAAACGCGGCGGTTCATGAGTCGCGGTTAGGCTCACAGTATCGAGAGGTCGATCTGTTGTTCGTGGAACGCGGATTGCACGGTTAATGGGCAATCGAGAGGCAGACAATAGGCAACGAGTCCTTTTCGCGAAACCTCCTTAATGCTGTTCGCTTCTTTTAAATTACGGCCGGCCGTTCCGTTCGTGCCAACCTCCCCCAAACTTCTCGAGGAGAGGAAGCTTGTATAGTAACCGACGAGTGTTCCGGCAAGAAGGGTTTTCGCGTTGGAGACCGCGTTCAATGGACATTGCGTGGCTTCAAGGATCTTTTCTTTCTTCTTTCCTTTTTTCTTTCTTTTTGCAACGGTAAGTTGAGCTTTTTTTGTAAAGTTAAATTCTTTTGTTGGAAACAGAATGGATAGTGTTATGGTGGGTATGAATGTTGATTATTAGAAAAAATATTATATTCGTTTATTAAAAATATTTAGGAAAATATTTATTTAAGTAAGTTTGATCAAAATTCTTTAAAATTTACTCGATATTAGGTATACTTTAATGAAATTATATTTATTTTATATTTTTGTATTTTATTTACTAGTTTGAAATTTTACTTTTGGATGAATTTTTAAACAATCAAATCAATGATTTATAGTTCCATTTCTGTCAATCATCTTTCCTTGCATAAACAATTATTTTGTCTGAATCATCCAACGTACTACTACGTTTTCGAAGTACGTTTCGACCCGGCATAAGCATTGATACGTATTTTTTTTTTCTTTATTTCATTCAACTGTTTCAAAATATCAAAACGTCACGACGTATTTAAATTCACTGGTTATTTTGAAGCATATTTGTCATCCGTCAACAACGTACGTCGCCGCTATTTTTCCTCGCGCAATAACTCGAAAAACATATTCTTAATGTAATTACGAATGAGCTTGTTCAACTCTCGCCATATTTCACGGGAAGAAAAATAAAACAAAAGAAGAAGAAACAAAAATCATTTCCCCATATCATAGATGGGGTATAAAAATTTAATAGTTGAAGTTAATAATAAAATTACTTCGATAATTTATCCTTCTCGACATCGAATATAACCACAAATAACCATAGTATATTATACGAGATTATAGAGTGGATAATTCTAATAACTACTTGAATAAATATTATTCAAACATTTTGACACACAATTATATAAACTTTACTCCAAATTTTTAACTTTTTCATTTAATTTAATGCCCAATTATTTTCCGATCCATATAACGATAATAATAAAAAAAATTTAATTTTCAAAACACTACAATTTTCAAAAAAAAAAAAAAAAAACTA